GGGGGGGGGGGCCTTGAAACAGCCAGGGAGCGTCTCGCAAGTGCGGGCCGCGGCGGGGGACGCAGCGCTGCAGGACCCCCCCGCCCCAGCACAGAGAGGCGGAGAGTGCGTTACAAACGTCAATTTATCGGCCCCGACCCCTCCATCCCGCGCCGGAGCCCCTTTGGAGAACAGCCCCGGGCCCGTGCGGGGACAGCCAACGGGCGTCGCCACGTTTGGGACCGGGGGGGGGGGGGAGGGGGACGGGACACGCACCAGGGCTGGGTCTGCAGGCAGCGAAACGGGCGGAGCGGGCTCCCCCCGGGCTGTCCCTGCGGTGCGCGGCGGTAATTAGCGGTCCCGGCGGTAATTAGAGGAGCCTCCGCTTCCCGGCGCTAATGAGCAAGGGAGGGCCCATCCCGCTCGTCCCCCTGCCCCCCAGCACCACCCAAGGAGAGGCTTTTGCAGAACCCTCCGAGGTCTGTTAACCCCTGCCGTGCTGGGGGCGTTTCCCTAGAAAGCATCGCCCCCCGGGGCTCGGTGTGGCAGCAGGGCGCTGTTGTGCGGGACGGAGCCCGTCACTGCGGCCCTGCCGCCCCCGGCCCGTCCATGGTGAGATCGAAGCTGAACCGGTTGTGGCGTCCCCTGGGCAGGAACCGCGCTCCGTGCGCGATGCTGCACGTCCAGAGCTGAAGGCAAAGAGGGCACTCGTTGGAGGCACCGCGGCTGTAGAAGAGTCAATACCTCCACGCACCCCCAGCCACCCTTTGCCCTTACCAGGTAGGCGACAAAGGCCACGTAAGCCACCAGCAGCAGCCCCAGGGGAATGAGGTAGCCCAGGCCCCGCAGCGTGGGCAGGAAATCCACCACGAAGTACACATTGATGGCACAGACCAGCCCCGTAATGAAGGACATCAGCACCTTCCCCAGGCTGCAAGTAGCAGGTGGGTATGGGCACCAGAGCTCTGTGCTACCCATCCCTGTAAGCAGGGCGGCAAGAGCCCTAATAGAGGCGTTGTGCGGCCCATAGCCACACTTCACCCCACTCTGGAGCCACCGGGGTTGCTGAGGACAAGGAGGTGTTCCCCCTCCCCCCCCCCCGCCCAAGGAACCCCAGCACTCACAGACCATTGGCGAAGTCATGCATGAGCGGGCGCAGGCTGGTGAAGGTGAGGACGGGCAGCACGGCGAAGGGCAGCTGGAATTGGGTCAGGGTGAGGGGGGCACAGTGGGGACGGGGGCCCGGCTGTGCCCACCCCTCACCAGGATGCTCTGCAGCACGTTAAGCAGGTCATTCATGCCCGTCAGCTGGCTTATGTCCCTAAAGGCAGCCACGAAGAGGGTGGGCAGGATAGCCAGGGAGCGAGTGAACAGTACCCTGGTGAAGCGGGACCAGCGCATCTGCAGGAAGCCCTGGGGGTGAGGGGAAAGATGTGCCATCAGCCCTTGGCGTGCTCCCAAAATTCTGTACAGACGTGTTCTCCCCCCCCCCCTCCTCAACTCCGTAGCGCTCAGTTCCTGCAGGGCTGCAGGGCCCCGCTAGATGTCAGCCCCTGCTCGTTAAGCGAACAGCTCGTTAGGGAAGGAGGACCTCACATGAGGGGCTCACGGGGAGGTGATTGCCGAGTGGCAGCAATGGGTGGGCGCTGACCCCATCCCGGCTCTCAGGGAGTCCAAGTCTGGCCAGAAGAAATCTCCCTGACAAATGCCCCTGTTGGGGTCGGGCTGCCCGTTGGACCCCTGCCCAGAGCCCACCCTTGAGTTACCTCTCCCTGTGTTCCCCTCTCACCTCCATGACAAACTGTCCTGCGTAGGTGCCTGTCATGGTGGAGCTCTGCCCTGCTGCCAGGATCCCCACGGCCCAGATGTAGAGCGCTGCAGCCCCAAAATAGCAGCCCAGGATGACACCCTGCGTGGCAACACTCTGATGGGGATCCCAAAGTATTCCCCCTTGGCATAGTGAGGGGTTGGATTTGGGAGACCGGAGGCAGCATGGTGCCCCCAAAACAGCCACCAAGGCTAGCTGGCCATGGAATGCAGCCCAGTGCCACTCACTCCCTGATAGATATCCACAGAGACCGTCTCATTGTTGATGGGGAAGATGCTGGCATAGTGACTGACACTGCTGTTGACACACTTGTTATGCTGCAAAACATGGTGAGCATGAGCGTGGCATGGCTATGAATTCAACTCTCCACCCAATCCAGCCCTCCACCCATCCATCCATCCATCCATGGCCAAGGAGCTCACCTGCCCCTCTCCACCCCTGGTGCAGCTGCCACCTCCCTGGAGGGACTCACCACATCCTCATTGCGCTGGTGGTAGAAAGCCTCTCCAAAGACAGCCATGACGAAGAGGTTGATGAGGAAGGAGACGAAGAGAGCTAGGCAGGACTCAGTCAGGAAGTACATGTTGGCCTCCTTTACCTCCTCCTTCTTGGAGCGGTCAATCACCCGGGTCTGGGCACGGCAGGTAATGTGCTCCATGGGGATCCATTACAGCCCCCCATGGGGAAGCCATTCACCCCATTCTACCACGTCTCTGCAATGGGGAACTTGTCCCCTGGTCCCTTCTCACCTTCACCAAGGAGGAGTGTAGAAAGATGTTATGGGGCATGATGATGGCACCAACGATGCCCACAGCCTGCAGCAGCTCCTCTCGCCCACAGCCCAGGCAGTAGGGCAGGAAAATTCCCTTCAGCACCTCTGTCTGCGCTGGCCTCACCACCACGTACTGGGAAGGGGCTCTGTGAGCTGCCCCTGCCCCAGCAGCTCATTTGAATCATTACAGGCTGGGGGGCCTTTACCTCGTAGCCAAAGGTCAGAGCCATGATGGTGATGAGGAGGCCAAAGAAAGCCTCCAGCTTGCGGAGCCCTGCAGAAGGAAGAGATGAGGAATGACACACTGGTGCCTGCACCTCTGCAGTGACTTCTCAGGGTCTGGATGAGTGGCCCCCATCCCAGTGCCCCTGCACTCACCATACTTGTCAAGGAAGAGGAAGAAGAGGGTGTCTGTGATGGTAATGAGAACACCACCCCAGAGCGGGATGCTATGGGACAGGAGAGCAGGGATGTCAGCCAGGTTGGTGGAGCATTGGGGTGGGCTGCGTCCCTCACTGGGGTGCAGATGGGACCTGGCAGCACCCTGCAGGTAGTTACCGTCCGGCTGAGAGCAGGCTGAAGGCAATGGCCGTCCCAATCACCTCCTGCATGTCTGAGCCGATGATGGCGATTTCCATCATGAGCCACAGCAGCACACGGGGCACCTGGAGGGGATGGGGATGCATGGCGACATGCTTGAGCCCTGCGGAGACCCGGCCCTGGGATGCTTGGGATAGGGGTGATGGGTAGAGGGTGCATGAGGGGGCTGCAGAGTGCAGTGAGAGGGAGAGTGCAGATCAGACGGGCAGGACGCAACTTGCAGCCGCTTCTGACGCTGGGACTCAGGCGTCCTCATGTGGGATTGGAGTGAGTATAGCTGTATCCATGCCAGGCAGTGGGGTGCGTGGGGCCAGAGGGGGTCACTGGGGCTGGGGGAGCGATGGGAGAAAAAGGGCTCCTCACCCACGCTGTGATCCCCCTGGGTGCTCACCGTGGGGTAATAGAGGTAGCAGATCTCTGCCAGGTCCTTCCCCGTCACCACGCCCAGGCGGATGGCCAACCTCTGGCACAGCAGTCCCAGCACTGTGGCCCACAGCAGCACCCACAGCAGCTGAGGGGGCAGGAGAAGGGCAGCACGGGTTGGTGGTGGGCAGCACCCCGCACCCAGTGGGGTCACCAACAGCCTGGGGCTCACCTTAAAGCCGGCCACAGCCCCGCACTGCAGGTCTGACTCCACATTGCCTGGGTCCAGGTAGGCGATGCTCATCAGGAAGCCAGGGCCAGTGAAAGCCCACAGCTTCCTGAAGCTGAAGCCGGGCTGCAATGGGGTGGCAGGTCACAGTGGGATGGGGCAAGTCCTGTGGGGTCTGGTTGTTCCCATTCAGAACTGGTGGCTCTCAGTTGGGCTACTGGTCGCCTATTTCTGTGGAGCCCTGCACTGCCACGTGGGCACATGTTGTGCATGGAAGGCATTTCTCTCTCCTCCAACCCCCTTCCCTTGCCCTTCACCACTGGGGTGGACAGCGAGACCCCAGTGATGTTTGGGCATGGGATTGGATTGAAATTTTTTGCGGCGCAGATGGAGCTGCCACCCTCCTTGTGCCGTTAACAGCATCTTGTGCAATCACACTCCAGTGAGCTGCTTTCACAACTCCATTCCTTCCCCTTCTCCCTTCCTCTCTCAGGCAACAGCTGGGGCTGGAGGGGCCCCAGGCTGCTGGGGAGGGCCATGGGACTTGGCCACCCCCTGGGACAGGAGATGGGGTGGCCCTCAGAGCGAGGCATCACTGCCTTGTGCCTTGGTTTTCCCATTGGGAAAGCTTCAAGTGTGGGAATGGGGCTGCAATTACTCTGCTGGAGCTGGAGCTGTGGACGTCAAGGTTCCCAGGGCATATCCTAGATGTGACCCTTGTAGTACTCAGTATCCTCAGCTGCACCTACCGCGCTGCCTCTGGGGATGCTGATGAGCTCATCCAGGTAGGTCTGAGCACGGGGAACAGGGTGATGTGGGGGGACAGGGATGTTGCTGGTGTCCGTTTGGCCTCGGTTCAGGGACCCAGTGATGCCTGGGAGAGAAGGAAGAGGACAAGGGGAGGAAAAGCAGGAGGGCATGTAGCAGCTCACTGCATATATGGGCAACGCCAGGTCCCAGCTTCATCCCAGAGACATCGGCCCAGGGAATGGCCCCACAGCTCCTGGGGGCCTGCAGCCACTGGGGCCAGCAGTGGTGGCCCGAAGCAGCCAGATGCCACCTCCAGCACAAGTGCCTGTCAAAGCCCTCTCCCCAGGCCACCCGTCACCAGCCCCAGTGCCACAAGGAGTGGGTGCAGAGGGTATGATGTACCCAGCCAAGATGGGACTCACCTGGCTCCAGTGATGCTGTAGCAGGGCTGGATCCAGACATGGTGCTGGGGAACCCCTACCTCTGTGTGCTGCACCCAGTGCACAGCTCTTATAGCTCCCAGCCCCCCCTCCAGGGAAAGCGGAGGAGGAGGAGGAGAAGGAGGAAGTGCTCCTTCCCTGCTTGCCACAAACCTAGGCTGGGAAAAGGCCTCCCAGGGGGCTGGGTCTCAGTTCCCCACCTGAGCATGGGGCAAAGCAACCTCCCTTTCATCTGGAAACACGTATCCAGGGGTGGGCATTGTGCCCATGTGTCACCCCCACAGCACATGTCAGGGTCCTGCTGCTTAGAGCGGGGAACACGGGCAGTTTTCCACAATGGAGGAGTTGCTGACCCCGTTCCCCGTTGAAGTGGGAGAAAGGCCAAAGGAGTGGGAGTGAGAAGGAAGCAGCATGCATTTCACAGGCACGTGAGCAGGGCAAAATGCACCCCGGGCTTGGAAAAGGTGGTCCAGAGAGTGCTGGGTGCTGGGGTGGAAGACACTCTCACCCAGAAGTCTGGGGAGCTCAGTGTTGGTGTGAATCAGGCTGCACCTCACAAAGTCCCCAGGGCTGTGGCGGGACCTTGGAGTGACACCCCTAGGGGACACATGGAGTGGTGGCAGGGCACAGGGCTCTGCCACATGGTAAGCCCTAGGCACTCCATATCACAAGGGAAGGCTTTTTTTTTTTTTGGGGGGGGGGGGGGGGGGGGGGGGGGAGGAAGGTGGGAAATAAGCCCTAAACAGTCATGAGGGGCTCATAGACAGCTCAGCCTCACAGCCCTCCCCATGCCTCAGTTTCCCCAAATCACACGAGAGAACTGCAGGAGCACTGCTGATACCTTTAATCCCCCTGAGCCAGGGGACTGGGACAGGAGATGCTGCAGAAAGGGCTGGGGGATATGGAGGAGGCAAAGCTGGGCCCAGGGGGCTGGTGGCGGGCAAAGGGAGCAAAGAATTCTGCAGCAAAGAGGATGGGGTCGGGGGGCTGGCGGAGCAGCAGGGCCTGCAGGAAGTCAGCCAGCAGTGCAAAGAGCTCAGGATGCTGCTGAATGTAGGTGCTGTGGGACGCTCGCAGCTCCTCCTGTAGGGTTGAGGACAGGGTCGTCCCCGTGCCAAGCTGGTGGGGAGCCTGGGTCCTTCCCTGCCTTTGCAGAGGGTTTGGAGGTGCTATGCCTCTTCCCAGGGGGAATCCTGCTGAAGAGCAGCATAATCTCATGTCTCTCATCCCCAAGCCCCCCCCCTCACCTTCCTGTCCAAGAACCAGGAGCACAGCTGGGCGTCCTCCTCCCAGTCCAGCAGCTGCTTTGGGAAGAGAGGCTGGGACTCTGCACCCATGCCGCTGAGAGCAGGTGCATCCTGCAGCACAGCAACCACCGGGCACCCCACCTGCACTCGCCGAGCCAAATGCCTGCAGAAGGGCATCAACGCTGAGCTCCTCCATCCTGATGCCAACACCCAAATCTGCCCCACCCCAGGCTGGCACCGTACCCGCTGGGGAGGAGGCTGTAGTGCCACACCATCGGAATGCCCTGGGCAGCATGCAGGGCTCTCTCCACCACCAACACTTCCGCCTGCGCTGAGCCCACCGGCTGCTGCCGCATGCCCAGGGAGCGCTGTAGGGACACAAAATCACTCTGTGCCCACCTGTCATCCTCGTGTCAGCCACCCGTGCCCCCCAGGGTCTCACATAGGTGGTGGTGCAGAGGTGGCCCTCCTTGTCGATGGCCGGGAAGGTGATGCTGGGGGGCACGGCATGGCGGCACGCCAGCACCCGCAGCAGCAGCAGACTGGCAGCCTCCCCCAGCAGCCCCTCCAGTGAGGCCCAGCTGTAGGAGAACACCTGGTGCTGTGGGTCTGCCTGCAGGGACAGCCCAAGGGACACCCTGGAGAATCCATACCAACTGCTCTCCAGGTAGGAGGGAAGGGTGGGAGGAGGTGGGGAATATCACCTCTCCGTCCCGGGTGGTGACAGTGACGGTCATTCCATGTGGGTGCTGTACCATGTGGATCTTCCTCTCCATGGGGTGTGCTCCAAACTGTAGGGGGAACAGAGCCACCCAACATCCCTCTCAGTTGGTGCAGGGGAAGAGGGACACCAGGGTGCCATAAACAGGTTCACTGTGGGAAAATCCCCATCCCCACTGCCACCCAGGGCAGGGGACTAGCCTGGAGGGATGGCTCAGGTGCATAGGCAGGGGCACCGCTTCAGAACAGAGGGACTAAGGGGACATGCCACCACCACGGCTGCCTGCTTACCTCCAAGCGCTCGTGCTGCTCCTGCTCCAGCGTCTCCAGCTGCATAGACACATACCCTGTGGGAGCAGAGCTCTGTGCACCCCGGGACAGGGACACCACTGCCCCCAAGATACCATCCCACCCAGTGGGATGGTGACATCCCACTCCAGCGCTCCCAGCTCACCCGTGAGCCTGCAGGAATATGGCACGCCATCCAGCAGCCCCTGGGAGCCGGCCTGGAGCAGGAGGCAGCTCCTCACCCGCTGGCCCTCCTGCTCATAGGGTGCATGTCGGGCCGTTACCCAGAGATGTCCCTGCGGCTGTCCCCCCGCTGCCACCAGTGCCAGTGTCTCAGTGAACAGGCAGCGCTCCAGCTCCTCTGGCCCTGTGCAGGGATGGTCACTGAGCGGCCCCCAGGGTGCTGCTCCCCTTGAGGTCACTGCATCCCAGGGAGAGGGGCTGGCACCCACCGATGCGGTTCAGGAACTTAGCAGCTGCCTGCATGGGGATGGAGTCTTCTGATGGGAGACAGCAGTGCTGAGGGGGTCCTCCTGAGAGCCTTCCCCCCCCCCCCCCCCCACTCTCCACCCTGGAGAGGAGCAGCAGGCAATGCTGCGGAGCAGCACCCCCAGTGCCCCTCCCCGGAACACCATGGAAGAACACAGCCTTCACCCCTTTCCTTCCCCCCCCCCCTCAAGTGCTGCGGTTCCCGCAGACACCTCTCAAATTGCAGCAGCCCCCTCCCCAAATCCTCACCCCCTGCCCCATATAAGTCCGGGGTCTTCTCCCCCGAAACTCCCCCTTCCCACCAACCCTCGGGTTGCCCTCCTCCTCCCCCAAGCCTCAGACCTGTACCCGTCGACCCGAGCTTCCCCCCCTCCCCTTACAACGCTGGCAGCCGTTGGCATAGGAACGGCCCAACCCCACCTCTTAAAGTGGCCACAACCTCACAGCAATGAATAGCTTTTTTGGGAGGTGGGGGCAAAGGGGTACTCCCCCAGACACAGAAAAAAGTGGTTGAGTGGGAAAAGATTCGATTTAGACTTTTATTTGGGGGGGTGTACAGGGGTTTCCAGTCCTCAGTACAGAAGTACTAACTGCACACCCCCAGCACTGTGCCCCCCATCCCAGTGTATGGGAGTGGATAAGGACACGGGGGGAGCCCCAGGGCAATGGTGGGCACCCAGGCTTCCTCCCTGCCCCTCCACCCCCAAAGGGAGACACAGTAATGAGGGGGAAAGGGAATTCCCTGAGCACTGGGGGTAAACTGGGGTCTCCCATAAAACAAAAGGGAGGGAAATAAGGAGAGTCCTTAGTGCTGTTTCTACAGCCCCAGAAATGGGGCAGGGCGGCCGCAGACCCCCAGAGAAGGGATCGTGTGGAAAAAGGGGTTAGGGAAAGGGACCACCTATGAGTTGCACACATGGGGTGTGTGTATGGGGGGGGTCCATGCTTTCCCTGTATCTCCCAGCAGGATTAAGGAGGAGGGGAATTCACAGCAGAAAATCACATAGTCCAGAAGATCCCCCCACGTCCAGAGGGGGGTCACGAGGTGGGGAGGGTCACTAGGTGGCCTTGTAGAGATCCTTCCTCCTGCGCACCTCCCGCAGGACGCGGGCTCGGAAGGCATCATGGTGCTCCCCGCTGCCCCGCTGCAGCCCCAGCGCCTCGTGCAGCTCCCGGCGGTGCGTGCGCAGGAAGGGGTTGTAGGTCCGCTCCTCGCCCAACGTCGAGGGGCACTGCGGGGTGGAGGACAGCGCTCAGCCACATCGTCCTCCCCACAGACACAAACAGGGCCGTGGGAGAGGGAGGTCCTCACCGTGCTCCTCTTCTCCTGCCGCTGCTGAGTGGCCCAGAGCAGCTTCTGCTCCAGCGCGGGGTTGTCCAGCTCCAGCAGGCGGGCAAAGCTCAGGCACTCCAGTGCATACTCGTGGCCTGGGGGCAGCACCTCAGCATCACCCCAGAGCGATGGAAAGGGGCAATCTGGGGGTTTTAGGGTAGCAGATGCTCACCCGGCCACAGCAGCGTGTCCTCTCCCAAGCCCATGGCTGCATCCAGGGAGGCCAGCATGGTTTCGGGGGAGCCCTCAAACAGTCTTCCTGCGGCCAAACACACAGCCACCATCACCAGGGGAGGGAGGTTCAATTGGGGGGTCCCCTCCTGCAGCCCTTCAGGACTTCAATGCCCAACATTTAGACAACATGGGATCGCTGCACTCACCGCAGCCAGCCAGGAAGAGCAGGTCCCCGGAGAACAGGCAGGGGGGGCCCCCGAAGGGCCCTGCATCCAGCACAAAGGCCATGTGCCCCACGGTGTGGCCTGGTGTGGCCAGTGCCTCAAAAGTCAGGCAGCCCACGCTCAGCTTCTCCCTGTCCCCAATGGGGCTGTGCCAGCAGGGAGGGGGGGAGCACGGTCACAGATACCCAAAATACCCAGCACTCCCAAAACAGCCCCCACAGGGTTCATAGCATGCCAGGGTGCTGGCACGGGGGGAGGGAGACCCAAATAGATGGAAGGATGACTGCGGCACTTACTGGGTGAGCTCAGGGATGGCATCGACAGCACTGCCATACACCTTGCAGGAGCTGTGCTGCTGGAGCAGCGCCGCATTCCCTCCGCTGTGGTCCCTGCAGGTGAGCAGGTCAGTGCATCCCCAGTACAGGTTAGGTATGGGGGCACACCATCTCAGCAACACTTGGAGCTGAGGGGCTCATAGCCTGCCAACCCCAGCTGCCCCACTCCCACAGAAGCAGGCTTTGCTCTGGGATCCCCACCCCAACAAGCGTCCCCAGCACCTCTAATCACTCTCAAACCCCCCAGTACTCCCTTACCAGTGTTTGTGTGTACAGAGTATAGCCTCCAGCACCACCCCCTCCTCTTCAATGGCAGCCTGGCAGGACAGAAATTTGGGAGCACGTGTATGGGGGGAACACTGCTCCCTGCTCCCTGACACCCCGCCCTGTGCACTGTAGGTTACAGATTAGGGGCAGATATGCTCCCCACTCCCAGGACACCACAGTACAGCACTGTGAGTGGGGGGGGGGGAAATCCCACCTGCACAGCCAGTGGGTCAGAGGGGTCGACCACGGCTGCACGGCCAGAGTCTGTGTCGATGACCAGGTAGCTGTAGTTATTGGAGAGCACGGGGATGGGCACGATTTTCACCCCTGAAAAGGACACACGGACAGACAGACAGACATCAGGGTACAATGGCAGCAAGGCTGAAGCCCCCTGCCCAAAATGGGGATGAAGCTCAGAACTCACCATGGAAGCCCCGTGGTTGGGACACCGAATGGCCATGGGGGAAGCGCTCGCGGGCCTTCTTCACCTGCCGCTTGTAGAAGAGGAAGCCGAGGCGTGTGCGGGCATACAGGCTGTACCTGTGGGGGGCACAGGGAGCCCCCATGGGGGGATTTAAAACACATCTCTTCCTCACAGCCCCGTATGCCCTCTGCAAAAGTCCTGGTCCCACCATCTATCCCCAGCTGTGAGCACAGCCCCGATCTGAGGTCGATCCCACGCTGAGAGCTGCAATGGACACTGGGTTCTGGAATCAGGCGGAACACACAGCACTGTTGGGTAACGAGGAGGGCAAAACAGAAGGGGCTGCAGAAAAGGGAAGCGAGAAGCACTCCCGTTCACATGCCACGTAAGACCAACAGGCTTGAACCCTTTCTATTTATACAGGAGGATTTCAGGGCTGGGGACAGATGCCATGAAGGACGTGAGATGCTCGAACCTACATCTTTACCCCATTCTCATCCGCAGGGCATCACCCAGGGCGCTACACCGTGCACCTGCTCATCCTCGTAAGGGCACGGTGGGGGATGCGCCTGGAAAAACGGTGGTGGGTGGAGACCGACACCCGCGGGCCGGCACTGCTCGGTGGAGCGAGGGCAGAACAAAGGGGAGCAGCGGGGGCGGCCCCGCACCTTCAACCTTTGCGCTCCCCCCGACGGCGGCGATTCCGGCGCTCCCGCCCGCAGCCTTCCGTTGGGGGAGCCCCGCGGATCCCCACTCGGACGGCCGGGAGAGCCGACCCTTCTGTGCGAGGCCACCCCCACGGCCCGCCGGCACTCACCCCAGGCGGAAAAGCAGCGGCCCGGCGAGTGCCATGAGCGCGGCGGAGGCGCGGCGGGCGATGCGGCGCACAGCCGGACAGCGGCCCAGCCAGGCGGCGATCACCAGCCCGCACGCAGCGGCCCCAGCCGCCACCGCCGCCCGACAGCGCGGCCCCGCCATGCCCCTCGCCCGCCCCCGCGGGGCCCCGCCCCCCTCGACAGCCAATAGGGGAGCGGCGTGACTTCGGGCCTCGCCCCCTCACCGTTCCCGCCACCCCACGCGCCCCCTGCCGGAGGGTTTCCCCCTGTTAGACGTCAGTCGCGGGGAAGGGGGACCCCTGCGAATGACGTCAGCGCCGCGGTGGGGGTCCCCCGTGGGGGGACCGCGCTGCCCCGCGGAGCCCGGCCCGACTGCGGCACGGTGGGGCGTCCCCACGCTGCAGCCACTGCCCCGTGGGGGCTGCGGGACGCTCGGTCCGGCACCGTCACCCTACCGCTCTGGACTCGCACCGACTGCTGTGTGGAGGAGCCGCCGCACGAGGGCGCGGCGCCGAGGGGCGGCCCCGAGGCGGGGCAGCTGCCGTCCGTCCCTCCGGACCCGCCCCCGCCGCCCCGTCCCGGCCTGTCCCGTCCCGCCCCGGCCGAGTTCCAGCCCCGCGGAGCAGCGCGCAGCAGGTAGGGGAGGCCCGACACCCCCAGCTCTGTCCCTGCGCTGACCCATGCCACTACTAGTGGCATGAGTGGGGTCGTGGGGAGCGGGAGGGGCAGAGACGGAGTCCCCCGGGTCCCCTCGGGAGTCCCCCAGCTCGGGCGGGGTCTCCCAGCTCTCCCAAACCACTTCCGGTCCCCTATCTGTCTGCCCACCCCGCCGATGCCCCCCAGCCCAAGCCCACTCCGTTAACCCACCTTACCATCCCCCCGGATCTTTCCCAGACCCCCCTCCCCTTCCCCCCTTCTCTGCTTATTTCCTCCCCTCCCTCTTTGCCTTCCAAATCCCCGACGTCACCCCGCCTGCCCCCCTCTCGCCCTTGGAACCCCCCAGCACTACCTCTATGCCCCCTCTGCCTTTCCCGGTGTCCTAGGAGGTGGGTGGGTGTCCCACGGACTGGAGAGGACCCGTCTAGGGACTGGAGGTGCTGTCCCCGAGCCGCGGTGACACGCCGTGGTTCCGTGGGATTGATTGCTGCGACGTGTGGCCCTTGGCCCTCATCCACCGCCTTCCTCTGAGCTTCCCGGAATGGCTGGGAATCTGCTTGGATGGGGTGGGGGGTTGGGCTGGGGGGAGCATCCCTGTGTTCCCCCATCCTTGTCCCCAGTGCTCTGTTCAGGGGTTCTGTGCCTGTGTCCCACCCCAGCCATGGTGTCCCCATCTCTGGGTGGGAAGGGCCTGCCAGTGCGTTGCGAGGCAACCTGTGGCTTCAGCTGAACGGGGGCAAAGTCCCAGTCTGCTTGGCACAGGGACAGCAGTGGGAGGGGGTTCCGTGGGGGACTGTGCTGTGATACCCTGCTATTGGAAGGGGTGTCTCACGAAAAGCCTGATGCTGGACAAGGATATGGGGTGGTATGGGGTAGGCACTGTAGGGCATGAAGCCAGCTCTCTGCATAGGGACACCTGGGTCGCAGCAGATTGGGGACAGGAGGTGACAGCTGGCATACATACTTGGCACCCCTGGGATGGGACGGATAGGGCTGCGGGGCTGAGACCCTGCAAACTCGTGCCATGGGTGAGCTGAGCTAGGCAGCAAGCCTGGAGGCATAGGGGCATCCGTGCTGTGCTGTACCGAGCTGTGCCATGCTGTACTGTGCTGTACCAGGCTGTGCCAAACTGCTGTAATTTTCCAAGTTCTAGGAAGGCAGAGCCCTTCCACGGCTGATCCACTCTGGGAAAGCCCCAGAAAAAGTGGGGAGTGCTGGTATCCTGCCCAGCTAGGTGCTGTGTGGAGCACCCCATCTCCATTGTGTTGAGGTCCCCCCCTGGCTGCCTGCCACTTATCAGTGCTGAGTCACGGTACCAGGCAGAGCTGTGGGGACCGGGTGGTGGCCACAGGGTCACTGAGCTAGCTGGGGTGGCCTGGCTGGTGACCATAGGTTTCGATGCCCTGTTCTGAAAGAGGAAATAGATCATGCGTTGGGGTTCTGTGCCCAGAGATGGATTCTGCCATAAGTGCCACGGGGAAGTGACCCCGTGAGGTGCGTACATCCCATGGGGCAGGGTTCTGGGGGGGGGGGGGGGGGCTGGTGGGGTTGAGTGCTGCTGGGTGCGGCTGGGACCCGTTGGGCTGGTTTCTTGTCTCTGCTGAGGCTGTGCCTGGGCATTGCTCCGGTTGGAGGCATTCACTTGGGCTCGATCTCATGGCCACACTGAAGTAGGGGGGGCTGCTGGATGCGGGGTGGGTGAGTAAGGGGTGCCAGCAGGCACTGAGTGGTTTAGGAGAAACTGAGGAGTGTTGAAAGCGAAACTTTGGAGACCACGTGGATGGGTTATTTTCGGCACTACCGTCACCATGATGGGAAACATGACGGCATGGCTGTGGGGCAGGCAACCACCCCCGCTGGGATGGATGGACGAACGGACATTGAGCATTCCCCCTGTGTGCCCCCCCATCCCATCCCACCCGGCACAGCACTGGCACAATGCTGCAGGAAGCTCCCAGTCCCACCCAGTTCCCTTGGGGCTAAGTCCTGCTCACGTCACTGCTGGTGCTGTGGGGGGGCAGGGGATGAGGGCGGGGGGGTTCCCTGCCAGCGCCACGGGTGTGGGGCAGGGGCCTGGCAACAGCTCCTGGCAGCGCCATTGTTTTCCTGGCCTTGGTGTTCCTGCCTTTCTCCTCCTTCTCTGCCTCCTGCTCTGGGGGAGTCAGCCCAGTGCTGGCCCTGCTCCCAGCACAGCTACTTGGCGGCTGCTGGGGGATCTGCAAGGGGAGCTCAGTGCAGGGTCCCAGTCTCCCCACCTCTGCAGTCGTACCTGATGGGGGTTGGCACCGTCCCTGGTCCCAGCACTGCAGTGGCATGTGCTGATCCACAGCCCTGTGCCCATCTCTGAGCCTCAGCAGTGTTTGTGGGGAGCAAAACAGAATTTCTGCCCATTGCATGGTGACTGGAGGGACACCCGGGTTGCTGACCCCAGTAATGGCAGGGCCAGCTGCAAAGGTCAGGTCCCCAGCGTACCTTGAGTCACCGCGTGGCCGTGCCCTGCCCGCAGCCACTGCCTGACATCACACCAGGGACTCAGAACATGGGAATGTAGGTGGCCCTGGGCTTTAAGTGACCTGGTCACCGTGCTTCCCGGCCCTCATTAAAGAGAGTTCACTATTAAAGAGTTGTGTTTCTCCTGCACTCGATGGAGGGCACATCATGATGACTGTCCCCTGAGTCCCATGTGTTCCTCATCATCAGGGGAAATGATACGGGCCAGGTGACATCCTCTATTCTCCCCTCCAGGTGCCCAGCAGGACAGCTCGCAGCTGGCATGGCGCAGCCCAGCGCACCCCCCCCGTACGACGACAAGAACCCCCTCTACCCCCCCAGTGCCTACCCCCAGCCCTCCCACTATGCTGGAGGGTACCCACAGCCAGGGGGGTACCCTGCACCTGCGGGCTATGCAGCACCAGGGGGGTATGGGACACCAGGAGGGTACCCACAGCCAGGGATGGCTATGCCCACCATGCCCATGCGCTTTGGTAAGCTGGGGAGCTTTGTTTTGGGGTGGGAGCATGGGCGCTGGGGGCTCTCACTCTGTTCTGGGGAGGGTGTCCTCTGGTGTGCTGTCACATGGGATGAGCTGCGGTGACCTTCCCTGGCAGGTGATAACTATGGAGGTGACGGTATGGGAGGCAGCTCCCCCATCCAGTCGGCTGACTGGGATGACAGAAAAGTACGGCACACCTTTATCCGCAAGGTGAGTCTGGGGCATCCCCTGGGGGGTTGGGGGCACGGGTTGGTGGCAGCAGGCTGAGTGCTGACTGCCTGCTGCCACCTCCCACAGGTCTATGCCATCATCTCCGTGCAGCTGCTGGTGACAGTGGGGATCATCGCGATGTTCACCTTTGTGTGAGTGAGGCGGTGATGGGGGGGGCTCACCCCAGGGTCAGGGGGGAGCATTTTGGTGCTGGGC